TCTTATAATTTAGAACAAAGAGATTAAATTTTAAACATTAAATTATACTGAAAAAACAAAATATTTTCCAAGGAAAAGCTAAGCTACCTGAAATTTCCAGGTACACTTGCATTTTGGAGGATAGTAGCTCGGGTAATATGGACTTGAAATTTTCCCTTCAAAGCCAGACCAGTGGCCTCTGCTAAGAGGACAGAGCTTTTGTCACACACCCTTTTCTCCAAGCTCTCAATTACAAGAATTCAATTGCTTCCTTTTGCTCTCAAAGACTCAATGGTATTGGTACTTTCAGTTCTGTTTCATCCTTTTAAGTTATCTAATAAACATACTTTTACTAAGTTAAGAGGTTTTATTAAATTCATTTTGCTCTTCTGAGTCAGGGTCCTTGACTAGTACAACTTCCGTCACACACCCTTTTCTCCAAGCTCTCAATTACAAGAATTCAATTGCTTCCTTTTGCTCTCAAAGACTCAATGGTATTGGTACTTTCAGTTCTGTTTCATCCTTTTAAGTTATCTAATAAACATACTTTTACTAAGTTAAGAGGTTTTATTAAATTCATTTTGCTCTTCTGAGTCAGGGTCCTTGACTAGTACAACTTCCTTGACTCATACAACTGCATTCGTTTTACAGCACAACCGGGGATAGGTAAAACTATATCTTATAGCAAGTGTTTCTTTAAAACTGGAGAGGACTTACTTTGTTCTGGGATGGCTTCAAAATATGCCCAGATTCCTGATAGCTTCCGCACATAAGGAGACTTCAGTGTCACCAGCATGATATTATTTGTAGAAACAAAGGATATTAGTGTTCTTGTGGGTTCACAAATTCTGAAACCAGATAACAGCACATGAATGATGGGTTATTTCTTGAATAGGTCCCCATGCTACACCATTTCCAGAACCATCGTTCAGCTCTTCTAAGTTAGTCCCTACCAGCCATCAGTGAATGACCCTAGGGCTCTACAGATGGAATGGAGCTGGAAAGCGTCCAGAAGTGTTGGCCTAGTAACTACCACCAAGGGATTCTCCTGGATGGCCATCCCTGATCCTGAGAGCAAACAGGTATGAAGGCCGTGATGATGGCTCAGCTCCATCAATCAGCTGGTTGGAAGATGCTAGGCAACGGAACACTTGAATCAACATAAGTTCCAGCGTGCCTTCTATGCAATGGTAATTAGAACACTAATTTGCCTCTCAGCATCACGGTGAAAATCAAAATAAGACTATAACTACCAGTGGCTGAGTTATGAGAAACAGCCAACTATCACCGAGAATGGGAGCCAGGAGTGAGCTTACTTATTGCTGTGTCTCTGTATATGGTATTTGGAATTTGGACATGTATACTCCTTACAAAAATATAAATGCATATGTACACACAGAAAGCATTGTGATACATGTAAATATTGTTAAAAGATAAGGTAAGTCATGTAGCCTTTTAACAGTGATCAATAAAAAATGGTTTCTTAAGGTCTAGTTGCCATTATTAGGTTATTGACTATTAAGCACCTATAGATAGACATCTACTATTAAAATTAAAACTAAAGTATTTGTGTGCATAATTACATATACATGAATGAATGGATTTATATTAAAATGCAATCGAAATTTGCTGAAAAATGAGACCTCATTTCTCTGATCTCATTTTTTTCTACAATGAGCACCTGCTATCTTTGTAATGAAAGAAATTTTAAACTATTTTATTAATATGATATGATCATCATGGATATTTATTCTCATGTTCTTTAGAAACAATAGACTTCATTGTCATTGCCATGAAAGTCAAATTTTTAAAAAGTATCTGGGGGCTAGAGAGATGGCTCAGCAGTTAAGAAGACAGACTGTTCTTGCAGAAGACCCGGGTTCGAATCCCAGCACCCACATGGCGGCTAACAACTGTCCGTAACTCCA